GCACCAACACAGCTGCACCAAACCAGCAGCACCAAACCAGCTGCACCAAACCAGCTGCACCAACACAGCAGCACCAAACCAGCAGCACCAAACCAGCTGCACCAAACCAGCTGCACCAACACAGCAGCACCAAACCAGCAGCACCAAACCAGCAGCACCAACAGCTGAATGTTAAATTAATTTTGCAGTTGCTAGATTTTGCACACATCCATCCAAAATATTGATATTAATACACTCTCTGTATCAGTATTGGATCAATACTTTAGCTTCAGATTCCTCTTCAAATTGCATTTTTATTTTCTGTTATGGTTTCTCAGCTCTACCTCTGAAAATATCATGTTTTTGCTTTCAAATTATAATAATTCCACTTTATTACTTGGGAAAAATACAAACTTGTGTTTGTTCAATATGTTATTAAAACATTTCATAATTAAATTCTGTTCCAGGTTTTAACCAAATAATTATGTGATTTTGTGATAAAACCACAAAATCACATAAAGATACTGATGTGACTGAGGAGAGAAAAACTTCACTAAAAATATAGATTTATTTACCAGAAGTTGCAATAATCAATAACTTTATCACATGTTCTGTGTTTTCTGAATATTTTGGACAAAAATGTGTGAAACATGAACAGAAAACATCATTTAGTTAAATGAGTCCCTAATAAAAGTCCAACATGTCATTGTTTAACATTTTATCACGTCTTTAACAGCAAATTTACTTTATTACATGTTTCTGTGTAACGGCGCCCCCTGCTGGATGATTCTGTGGTTTAAATCTGTTTTTATCTGGAATCTTCTACAAACTTCAAAGTTCAGTTTGATGTTTCCTCAAAGATAAACATGTAAAGTTTTCTATTCCTGAAGAGTTTTGTAGATTTTCCATCAGTTTGTTGAGACCAAAGGAACAAGAAGAGAAACGAGTTAAAGAGGAAACTGAACTGAACTGAACTGAACTGAACTGGTTCGGTCAGGATGAATGAATCGCTTCCTTCTGCCTGCAGCCCTCGTAGCTGAAGCTCTCTCTGGGTTCTCGGTTCCCGACTCGGTCCGGATCGCCCGGCTGAAGGACGGTTTGTCGGTTCTGGAACTTTTCCATGGAGAAACTTTGGCGTTCAAAGATCTGGCCATGAGCTGCACCGTCCACTTCCTGAACTACTTCCTGCGGAGAGACGGCAGCCGAGCCGTCGTCCTGGTTGGTAAGAAACATCCCTGACCTCTGACCTGGTTCTGATGATCGTGACCTCTGACCTGGTTCTGATGATCGTGACCTCTGACCCGGTTCTCCTCTCAGGAACTTCAGGAGACACCGGTGGTTCTGCCGTCCGCAGCGCCCGGTCTCTGCCGGGTCTGGATGTTCTGGTGGTTTTCCCTCGGGGTCGGATCACGGCGGTCCAGGAGAAACACATGACGTCCTGCCTGGAGGACAACGTCCACGTGTTCGCAGGTAGGGCCGCCCTCCGACCCGACCCGGTTCTGTCCTGGTACCGTCTGGTTCTGTCCTGGTACCGTCTGACTGTCTGGTTCTGTCCTGGTACCGTCTGACCCGGCCCGGTTCTGTTGTAGCTGACGGCAGCTCCGATGACATCGACCAGCCCCTCCGCCGCCTGTTCGCCGACCAGAACCTGGTCCGGACCCACAGCCTGATGAGCCTCAACTCCGTCAACTGGTCCAGAGTCATGATCCAGGTGGCGCACTTCTTCTACGCCTACCTGGAGCTGAGCGGCCTGGGGGCGGAGCCTGGGCTGGGGGCGGAGCCTGGACTGGAGCCCGGGCCGCTGCCGGAGCTGGAGGTGGTGGTTCCGACTGGAGGAGCCGGAAACATCGCAGGTGGGTTCAAGGTGTCAGAACCAACAGAACCTCCTGCTGAGATAATTTCATGTTTTATTTATTGATCAGTTTCCTGTAGTTTTGGGCCTGGATTAATGTCTTTAGTCCAGTTAACTTCTGGGTCTGTAGCTAACTCTGTCAAACTGTTAGAAACTCCATGTCAGTAGTAACTGGGTCACCAGCACCATGTTGTGATGTCATGAGGGTAAGTCAAGCTGAAGCTGAGTTCAGTAGTTCATCGTTTTGAATCATTTAAATGGTTTTATTGTCAGTAAAAATCTGTTTTTCCCCCTGAAGCTGCAGCCGGTCCTCCATGTTTGTAGTTTTTCCTCCCAGCTGCAGCCGGTCCTCCATGTTTGTAGTTTTTCCTCCCAGCTGCAGCCGGTTCTCCATGTTTGTAGTTTTTCCTCCCAGCTGCCTTCATCGCCGTCCGGATGGGCCTGCCGCTGAAGCTGGTTGCTATGGTGAATGCTAACGACATCGTGCATCGGACGGTAACCAGCGGCGATTTCTCCATGGCGCCCAGCGTCACCCAGACTCTGGCCCCGGCCATAGACATTCAGGTAGACAGCTCAGAACCAGAACCAGAACCAACCGGGTTCTTTACAGGCTCAGATAATCAGGCTGAGCAGAAACTTTTCTTTTAACCTGAAACAAATAAATTATATTCTAATATTTTATCATTAACTATTTCATATATGTTTCATCTTTGACTTTAATCATTTTATTTTCTTTCATTTATTTTGAAAGTATTTCTATTTTTTACAATTGTTGAATTTCTCTTATTTTCATTCACAATGTTTTTTTATTATTATATATTTGTAATATAATTGTATTTATTCATTAATTTATTTTGCATATTATTTGTTTTGTATTTCATTTATTTATTTAACTTTATTTCTCTAATTTAATTTAGGCTAAAATCAGAAAAGATTCTTGATAAAAACAGATTAGAATGGCAGTAAAACTGTTTCTATTACATTTATTTATTGTAGTTCTTCTCTGTGTTCACAATATTTATGAATTTTATTGTTTAAATATTTTTTAAAACAGGTTAGTTGTATTTTGTTTTAGAGAATTAAATGTTAAATGAACAGATTTAAACAGATTTTCTCAGTTTGGTTCTAAACTGGTTGAAGTTTGGTTGCTGTTTCCTGGAAGCCATCTTGGTTCTGGTTCTGTTCCTCAGGACCCGTACAACATGGAGCGGGTCTTCTGGCTGCTGCTGGACCGGGACGGTGCCGCCGTGAAAACCATGATGGAGGAGTTCCAGCGTTCCCATCGCCTCCGGCTGCCAGAGAACCAGCGCAGACTGGTACCGGTCCTGCAGAACCCCGAGTCCGGCCAGCCGGACCGGACCGGCAGCGGCAGTAACCGTCTCCTCTGTGGTTCTCCCAGCTGGCCGAGGTTCTGGTGACCGGCGCCGTGAGCGACCCGGGGATCCTGGAGACCATGAGGCGGTGCTGGGAGCAGAACCGGTACCTGCTGTGTCCCCACACGGCCGTGGCCGTCTGGCACCACTACAACAGAACCCACAGCGCCGCCAGAAACAGGTCGGGGAGGGGCTCCTCGCTCTGACGCTTTTATTTTGAGTTATCAGTTTTATTTGTTTGACTATTTATTGTTTTATTTTATTTTGTTTTGTTATTAAATATTTTATTATTTTTAAAGGAACGTTTTATCTGAATTAATTTTTCAGTTTTATTTCTTACACTTAATTTGACTTCATT